GGAAAGGCATCCGTTTAAAAGCGAGGAAGAAGGGAGGTTCGGTCTCGGATTTGCCTGGGATGTCACGAGTGGGGAGGGAAAAGAGAAACTTCCCCGAGATGTGGGGCTGGGAGGAGCAGCAGCTCCCTTCCCCTGCGAGAAATACCCACGCTCAGAGGCAGGGATAGGGGGGGAGAAAGGAGGAAAAGTTGGAAGGCACGGAAAGGGAAGGAAAAGGCGAGTTGCAGGGAGGCTACTATCCAGGAAGAAAGCGGAGGGAGGGGCGAGGCGAGACAGACAGCGATGGAGGGGAACCAGAGGGGCATGGGAGAGTTGGCTGCTCCAGGCAGGGCCTACTCCGAGGGCTCATCCAGCAGAAGCTCTGCTAAAAATGGCTGCTTTGCTTCCACTGCCCCTTCCCCCTCCCCCAGAGCTCCGAGCCCTTCCCTCGGTGGCCCCGGGCGTGTGTGAGCCGGGGGCCGACACTCACCAGGCAGAAGAGGTTGGAATGGCAATCCTCCAGGCTGGCCCCGTTCGGCACGAAGCAGGAACTCATCCTCACAGCCACAACCCACACGCCATTATCCCACAGCCTCCGACAAGAAAGAAAGAGACAGACAGAGAGAGAGAGAGAGAGAGGGAGAGGGAGAGAGGGAGAGACAGACAGCGAGAGGGAAAGGGGGAGGGGGGCTCTGCACACGCACAAATAATAATACAATTAAATAAGGGATTTACAGACACACGCACACGCACGCGAAATAGTGGCAGGGGGAATAACCCGCGGGGAGAGACAGAGAGGTGTGGGAGAGGGGGGTAAAAATATATTAAAAAAAAAAAAATTAAAAAAAAAATTTAAAGAGGAACTCAGAACGTTTTTCTCGTCTTCTGGAGCTCAATCGGGGGTGTAAAGCCGCCGTGGAAGGGGAGAACAGAAAGAGGGAGGTGGTAAGTAATCCAACGACGGGAGATTAAGATCAAAATCCTCCCTGTTCCTCTTGTCTTCTCGTTCGCATAAGGAGGGGAGGGAGAGGAGGTAAGGTGAAGGGGTAATTGATCCAACAAGAGAATAAAAATGGGGTAATTAATCCAGGGGGCTAGGGGTAAAAATCAGTTGACATCCCTCCTTCCTCTCTTCTCAGATGCCAAGCAAGAGAAGCAGGAAAAAATAAATAATCCAGCGGGGGCAATTAATCCAGAACCCCCCCTCCTCTTCCTCCTGTTCCTTTAGTCATCAGATGAGAAAGGGGTAAATTGTGGAATGACTGGGAAGGATTGGCCGTGGGAGAGAGAAAAATCCAGGCTCGTCTCTTCGGAGTCCGAGGGCAACAGGGTGTGGGGGGGTCAGATTCTTCTCCCCTGCTCCAAAAATATTCCAAATAAATTAAAATTTAAAATCATAAAAACAAACTTCAGGGGCCAGAAGCAGGGCCAGTCTGAAGAATTCGTAAAGGCAGAGCAAGAAAATTTTCCTGGGGTGTACCCCAAAAAAACATCTGCGGGGGCAGGGGAGGGGGGAAGGTATTCCTTGAGAGAGAAAGGCCGCAAAAAGTCTCCTTAGCAGCCCAGCGGGGGATTAAATTCCCGTGTGGAAACCCCCCCTCCCCAAAACGAAATACTCTTCGCAGCGAGGGCGAAACCAAAATATCCTCCGTTGGGTAAAAATTCCTTCCGTGGGGAAAGGAGGGAGGGGGAGAGGGATGGAAGGAGGAAATTGCGGGTGACCCTCGAAGTCTCTTCGGGGAAGGATGGAGGAGTCTCCGGGAGGCCGATCCCCAGCCTTTTCGGGGGAGGAGGACGCGGTAAATCGCAGAGTGTCTTCGGGGAGCCTGGTCCCCCCCAGCTGTCCTCGGGGGCCGGGGGACCCCGCAAAGTCTCTTCAGGGGAGCCTGGACCCCGCCGAGTCACCGCGGGGAGGGGGAAGCGACCCCCGCCAGACCCCTGGGCGCGGGGGGGCGGCGAGGCGGGGAGGGACCAGCTCAGCTGCGAGGCCGGTCCTTTAAAAATAAAGGAAAAAAAAAAAAAAAAAAAAACCAAAAACCAAAAAAAACCACAAAACAAGGGAAAAAAAAAAAAAAAAAGGGGGGGGGGGGGGGGGGGGGAGGAAGTGGAGGAATATAAAAAACGCTCGTCTTCGGCCGGAGCGGTCTGTCCTGGGGGGGCGGGGGAGCCCCGAGACCGCTCGCTGTCCTCAGGTGCGGGTCCCCGCGGGGGCGGTGGGCGGAGGGCCCCCTCCCCGAGGCTCCTGGGCAGGGCGGGGAGGCGGCGGCCGAGCCCCGGGCTCTGCTCAGCCCGAAGGGGTCGGAGCCCCGCAATTCCCGGCGCCGCCGACACACAGGGACGCGGCGGCCGCTGCTGCTGCTGCCGCTGGCGGAGTCGGTGCCGCGAAGCCCCCGCCGGCGCGTCGCCTCCCCTCAGCGGTGCCTCTGTCGGCGGCTGCCCGGCCGCGGCATCCTGTGGCGGCGGGAGCCTCAGCGCGGGTCCCCCATGGCCGGAGCGGGAGCGGATCCGGCTCCCGGGTAATTCCGAGACCCTTTTTCTTTAATGGCGGCCACAGGGACGGCGGTCGGGGGCCCCCTGCCGCGCTCCCATTGGCCGCCGCGCCGTCACGTGGGCGCGCACCGCCATGGCCGCCGGCGCCGCTGGGGGAAGGCGGGTGCGGCGGCGCGCGCGGCCGCCAGGGGCGTCCGGGGCGCTGCGGAGCCCCCGCCTTGCTCGTTGGGGTGGCGCCATCTAGCGGCTGCACCCGGAGGCAGCGCGGCGAGACCACGGGTTCGAATCCCGCCCCCGGCCGGGCCCGCGGCTCCCGGGATGGTGGGATGGGGCAGGGTGGAAGGAGCGCGGTGGGGCAGCCCGGAGCACACGATCATGTGTGGGATAGTGCCACGAGGGAGGCTGTGCAAGCTCTCCGGGTAATGTGCTCCACTGCTCCTAGGACAAGTTCAGGTGGAAGTTCCTGGGCACCACCTCCTGCCCCTTGGGCCATGTCCTGGTGGTTGGCAGCATGGAGCAGAGCCTGGTGCATCTTTTGGCACCCCCATTTCGATATTTACACCCGGGTTCTCCCTTCCCTTATCCCCGCCGGGGCTCCCATCCGTTCCTGGGGGTCCCCTCCATTCCCCGGGCTCATCCCTGCATGGGCCATAAGGGTTGGACTCAGTGGTCCTCGTGGATATCCTGGGATTCTGTGCCCACCCCTGGGCACCTCTGGTCAGCCTGAGGCCAAAGTCCTGGCACAGAGTGTCCCCCAGCACAGGGAACACTGCCTTGGCTCCCCTTCCACAGCTTCCACCTCTTGGCACAGGATTCCCGAGATTCACGCTGGCACTTTGCACCACGGAGCAAATTCCAAACTCAGGATCTCGGAGCCTTTCTGAACAGATAGACAAGTATTGTGAAAGCTGACTTTAATATTTAATGCAGGTGTTAATGCTCTCACTAGTCCCATAGACAGCCTCTCTGCCAAAACCCAGTTTTTTCCATGCCCAGATCCATATTGTGCAGTTCAAGAGGATAAAGTAGGTGGCTTCTCTGTTACTACATGCACAGATTTGCAGAAGGACTGTGAGATTATTCAGAATTAAGATGCTACAGTGACACTGAAAGCTATTTTTAAGAGATGTTTGGAAAGTATATGCATCTTACTAATCCTCTCATATTACACATTAATTTTCTAGTCAATGCCTTGCATGTAGAACGGAAAATTTTAAATTACTATATGCAGAATTTTTACTGCAGTGTTCAAGTGAAAACCCAAACCAGTGTAAAGCACCTAAAGTGAAAGAAAGCCCTGAATGTCTCAGCAAACCTGACATTCACATTAAAATATGATATGTTCATGCAACAGCAGCACGTTGATCACAACTATGCAACACGATGATGTTTCAAAGGCCCTGCAAATTATTTCAGGACTCCTGAACAAGACGAGCAACAACCTTCTGCAAATGTCTTGATAGAGTAGGAGGAAAGAAGGACACTCTATAAATAAACTTATCATATAAGTGAAAAAAAAAAAAATAAGCGAGGCTAGATATATTCACCAAGAGAAACTTTGAAGATTTACTCACACTGAGCCTATTTTTGTATGCCAGTGTAGGCAAGCAAGATTCTTCTTTTCATCTAAATAGAAGCAGAGTATTTTTAAACGCAGGAGATTCATTCCCTCAGTGCTCATCGAAACACGGCAGCTGGGGCCGGAGCCGGGATGCGGGGGGAGGGCTCCGGGGGGAAGCAAACCCCTTTCCAAGGGAAACAGATGGTTTTCCCTGCGCTGTCTGCAGCCGAGGGCTGTCAGGAGCATTCCTGGGTGCCCAGGGCCAGCCCCAGCCCCTCGGAAGTCCCAGGACCACCGTGATGTCCTTGCGGGAGAGGTTCTCAAGTCACTCCTCCCCACCGAGAAATCCGAGGATATGAAGGAAATCGGGGAAAGCAGCATTCGGCATTAAGCACACAAGAGCTGGTACGGATTTATCACTAAGAGGGAAAAGAATCATTTGGTAAAAGGGATTTGGTAGATTTGGATATCCAGGACGGTGGTTCTTGCAAGTCTGAATTCAGGATAACACCAGTTTTTCCCATTTCTTTTCCCTCAAACAGCACAGCTCAATGTCTGGAAGAGAGGATGAGTGTCACACACTGGGTTTGGTGGGCATGCACCTCCCAGTTTTGAGGAACTCACGAGTCTCAGCTCACTTCTCTGGTTCATCAGTCCTGACACACTCATCACAAGAAATCCTTCTAGAGGATCCCAGCACAAGTGTAGAACATCATTTGTCCAGTAAACCTAAACACAGGATAAGGAACTAATAAAATATCCACAAAAGAGGAAAGAAAACTAATATATCAGCTAGGGAATTTGGAACTCAAACTCTGCTTGACTCAGAACCCTGCAGCTTTCCCAATTGCATGTACAGAACCTCAGAACAGAAAGACACAATGGAGAGCAATCACATCCATGGCTGGTGAATTCTGCACCTGAGACACTCCTTGCCCTTTGTACTCTTTGGAAATAAAGCCTCGTGGAAAACAGAGAGGAGGCAGATTAAAAAAGAATTGAGGAAAAAAATGCTGTTGAAAATGTGCTTTGTTTTGTAGATAGGTTCTTATAGAGTTCTCATCTCTGCAACTTCCAGAAGTGCATTAAGCTGCATAATTAGCATCTGTCACATGAAGCTCTTTCCTTCCCTCTTCCTCTCCCTAGAGGGAACCCGCATAAAGAAATTTTAATATAAATTTTAGTGTCTACTCTGTGCAGTGCAATCACATTAGGAAAGCTACAGGCAAGTCAGTTTGTGCTCAGTCTAAGATTTATCTTTGTGTAATAGAAAACTTTACCAATTTTTTTTAATGTTGCTGATCCAATTTAAAAATTAACCAGTCTCTTGGAAAGACAACAAGGGTGGGGGAGAATTGGTCCCCATTGCATCAGATTTTAACCAGGAATTATCAGGAACTGGCAGTTAAAGCCAGTCCTGGTACTAAATCCCTACAATCTCTCATGGAAACTTCCAGCCAAAAGAAGTAAGGGATGGGTGTTTTCCCCTTCTAGTCAAAAGCATTTATTTTGAAAGGAATATATTTTTAAAACATCTAAAGTAGGAGTTCATGTTGCTTTTTCATTCACATCAAGAGATACTCCACTGCTGAAAATAAAAATCAGTGGATTACAGCATCTCCTGATGAATCTCTGCAGGCAAAAGAAGATGCTGCCTTTTAGAAATAAAGATTAAATAGAAATAAATGCAGCTTAACAATAGCAACATGACAAACAACTCTATTATTCAGCCTCTGATTTCCATTCAGACTCTCTCCTAATTTTTTGAAGTATTTATTTTCTACTTAATTATTCCAAGAAAATTGAGATTATAGGATTGAACATACTGCCAACAAGCTGAGGTATGGAGTGCAGACCGAGTGCTTAAACTTCAGCTACAGAGGTGGTAATTATTGTAATTGGTGCATGTGAAGTAAATATATCAAGCAGTGTAGAGTTCAAACTCGTGCCAGTCAGTCTCCAGTTGGCACCAACATTTCTGTCAGGAGGATACAGAGGTCTCAGCAGGACTTATTACTGGCAACTGTTCAACAGTTCTCCTCTCCAAATGGTTTCAAGGGGATTTGGGTGGGAAGAAAGATAATTTTTAACAAATTAAACTACCTAAAAATGGCGAGCTGCCCAGAGCCACCTAGTCTGCCTTAGTAACTACTACCAAACCATTTTTAAAAAGAAGATTAAAAATATCATTGCTGACAAAATTGCCTACCTGGTTTTAACAGCTTAATCAGATCCCTGCAAAATTAGCCAAACATGTGCTATACACCATCCTACAAGTGTGTGTAAAATATGTGCAGAGTAAAAAGTGGAGCAGAATATTCACTCACTGTGTGTTTCTTAGAAAACAGCCTCGAGTTACCAGAATCCAAATATCCCTATAAGGACACGTCCCATAGTTAAAAAAAAAAATAAAATCAGATCACTTAATTTTTAATTGAAATTTAGAAAGATTGGGAGGAATGGTTATTTCCCATTGGTATTTATCTCACAACATTTGTGAGGTGTAAAGCAGAGGCTCTCACAGCCCTGAGCCAGACTGATGTCCAGCTGCTTTGTTTAGACCTTGCTAAAATGCCTTTTTCTAATGGTGAATGTGTCATTTCTAGCAGAGGTCTCCAAGAGAAGATTTGAGTTTAATGCACGGAAATAAAAAGAGGAATATGAGAATTCTTGCTCTCTTTAGTGTCAGCTTTGGTTAAGACGTATGAATGCACATGAATAGTCTTGTCAGGATCTCTGGGGCTACTGACATTCAAGATCTAACATATTATTACTTCTGACCAGAACATTAGCTGCTGTGCAGGAAGGAGAAGGGAAAGAAAAGAAAGGGAAAAAGATAGGACCACTCCCTAATCAGACAGAAATTGTTATGGATTTCTCTGGCTGGAAATCTCTGAACAGAACTTTTCCACTCTGAAAAGACAATGCTCGTGATCTCCAAGCTGACTGTACAGCTCTTTCAAACCTGCAGAAGGAAAAACAAAAAACAGTATATTTTAATGCCTGATCTTGCTCATTTTACTCATGGAAAGCATCCTAATTAATCTATAAATAATGAGTGTACAACCAAGTATTACATCCCTGTAAAGGACATGTGCTAAGGAAGGTTTGAGCATTTCAAGCTGCTGGCTCTATTTTTCACTGTTCCTTTGAATCACTAGTTTCAGATACAAATGAGCTAATTAAAGAATTTAGTTAAAATAAGGTAATTTTCATTCCAACCTCAGCATATATTGAATCTGGATACCACTACAATGCAAAGATTTGTTCACCAGAAGCAAAAATCTTCCAGTGTCCTCCTGACTGAATGAAAACATATTTCAGATATTTTCAGTTGTTGGTGTTCACAATTCATTTCTAAAGAAATTGAAAATATCCAGATATTGGTTTAATGAGTATATTTGTGCTCTTGAAATTTGAGCTGAAGGAGTGCAACCAAAGGCAATACCCTGTCCTTTGTGACTGAAACCACCTTTAGAATCCATTCAGGAGCTCCAACACATCACACAAAGGCCTGGATTTGTTTGGAGCAATAAATGATAAAGACCTTTACATATTTGAAGTGCAACAGATGGTCCTCCAAGGAGAACATAATGACTGGCAGACAGCACTTCGTTAGAGTGGCTTGGAATGTCTTCAGCAATTACACAGGCAGTGTTTTGGGGGGAAGCCCTGTCATCTCTGTGATTCTTCCCATGGAAATAGCTGTGATTTCCTTGTTTAGATGCTAAAAAATGGTATCTTCTAAAATCCAGGCAGTGAAATGGAAAAGAAAGCACCTTTGACCCTCCCAAGGCTACTCAAGATGAGGCTCCACCTGAGAAGAGAGATGTGAATAGAAAAAAAATTAAATCAGTATGAAGGGGAAAGAACTTAGGACACACAACTTTAAAACTGTTAATCCATAGCCAAGTGTTCCATGGAAGTGTAATTCAGGAAAAAAGCCAAGGTTTAACACAAGGTCCACCAGACTTTTAGAAATTGGGAGGTTTATAGGTACAACAGGCAGAATATCAAGTGGAAAAACACCCAAAAGACTTGAATTACTGCATAAGAACCTCCTTCCTTTGGGAAACTGGTGATTTTTGAGGAGTCCTCTTCCACATGAAACACTGGCTGCACTTCTTCAGGGCAGGGGAAGGGGACTTTTTTGAGGCTGTCCATTCTTCCCATTTTCACAGACAAGCTATTTCAGAAACTAACAACTAATAATTACAATTTCAAAGAAAGAGCAATAAAATGCTGATTTCTATACCATAGATGTAGCTTAGAACGATTTCACTTCCATCTCTCCCATCCTTGTAATTCCAGGATTAATCTGTTCTGTTCTAAAACCTTCCCCACCAAATCCACCCCAAGGAAAAAAAAAAAAAAAAACTGTATGTGGCAACACAAGCACAACAAAAAACGTGTCCTTTCCCAATGTAACTTAAATGTTGATGGAATCATAACTGCATTACTCCCTCTCCAATTAGCAGCAGCATTCTTTATGTTTGCTTACGAAGCGTGAACAGTTCCCTTGTCACTACAAAGACCTTCTGTGGAGGACTTCAAAATACAGCCCCAGCAATTCAAATGACAACGACAGAGGTGCATTGGTCACATCGTGACACAAAAAAAATATCCAGCTGTTTCTTTCCAGCAGAAGGATGTGAAATATTATGAGGAAATTTTGACAGGCTACGTAATGCATGCTGGATATTCTGGTGAAAATATGGATTTCCAAGAAAGGAGGAGACGAATGTGAAACTATGTCTAAGCTCACAGATTGATTTTTTCCACATGATCAGGATTGTCACTCATGATTTTTATCCATACAGATTTCCCTTTTTTCTTTGCTGGAACTGGAATCTTGTGAGAAATTCGCTAAAATTAAGAAAAATTTGGGGAGGTGTCCTCAAAAATAAGGCAAAAAGTGATCTGATAGGGTTAAAACTAGAAAATCAGATTTTAAACTTACTTAATTTGGTTGTGTTAAAAATATTTTAAGAATTTATTAAGACCATAAGTCTCATTACAACAAACAGAACATCTTTTATAATCACATCTGTCTGCTGCTGGTTCCTGCCTATTCTGCTTCCCAGTCAGATGGGAAATTATTTGTAATACATGTAGGGAATTTAAAAAATAATTTTAAAAATATATTTAAATAACAACAAAGGCTGAAAATTAAATGTTTCAGGTTAGTTTTTCCTAGTTAGGATTATAGGAGATATATACAGAGATATAAATATAGATATATTTATCCTGAAGTGATAAGGTAGCTTTGATTTCTAATACACCAAGAGAAAATAACTGACACATACAGAACCAGCCACTCAAGGGGGAGGAAAAAAAACCCAAACACTGTCTATAGAATCCACCTACAGATATGTCCTTGGAGAAAAACTGATGAGAAAATTATCAGGCAGATTTTCCTTGCTCTTTCCTTCTTGGAAGTTTTTTACCTCTCAGAACAGCACAGCCATGGCAAGTGATATGTATCAGAATTCACCCATGCAAAATATTTTGCACATCAAATTGATTATCCATGACTTCTTAGGCAAACACAGGAATGCAGAAAACATGTCAGCTGTTATAGATAGAATATATGGGCATTGTACTCCTTACTTTACATTTAGAAAGAGCAGCAGATAATGAGCTCAACCCTTACCTTGAGAATAAATTTCATTTCCAAGTTCAGAAGTAACTCTGGATTCTCATCTGTTTTGTGAACCAGAACTTACAGGTAGCTCATAACATTTGTCTTCTGAGCTGTGTTTGCCTCCAGAGTAATTGTCAGAAGTGGGCAAAGGCTTTGATGTCCTCATCTTCATGCCTTCAACCATGATGACCTTACAGACTCAAAGCAATCACTGCAAAATACAGAAGACAAGGAAAAAAAATTAAGAAATATAAGCCCTGTGTTTTTCCTTCCCTAAATTCCCAGAATTCATCTTCAGATTCATGCCTGTAGCAAAAATAAAAAAATCAGACTAAAATATTACCCTTCTGCATATTTCATCTGATATAATTGCTTGGCAACAAACATCTTTTGCTCTGCAAGTATTCTGCAGTGAATTTATTCACATCAGGAAAAACACATCAGTAAGGTGTCTAGTTTGAATAGTTTAGATTCCAGGGACAAAAAAACAGAGTGACAGAACAGGCAAGACACAACCTGGAACCATTCTGAGGACACACAGACCATCTTTTCATCAACAGCCACAAGAAATATTAGACAACCAAAAGTTTTGAGATCAGCAGGTTTTGACAAACCAGTAATTAATCCTGAGCTGCAATAATAATATTGTGTGTTTGAGGAATATGTCATAAATATAATTATTCTTTGCAGATGTTTGCTTTCATTACAACTGAAACTGTTCCATTCCACACTGTGGCCAAGTGCTATCAGACACCATTTTCACCAAGACACCAAGCACAAGATGTTCAATCTCAGAAGGTGAATTCCTAGACATTGGGCTGATAAAGCCATCTGAGATTGTGTAAAACATATCTCATACAATAATTACATTTCATTTTGTGGTTTACAAAAATCTATTCATGAAACTACAGAAGCTTGTCAGGCATTCTTTATTTCCAAAGAATAACACTCATCCATGAAAACAGTCTGATTTAAATCACTGTGAGTGCTGGCAGATGAAAATTACTGGATTAAAAAAATAGTGTCTTATTGGAAATCAAAGCTACAAGTTTGAGTCACTCTTACTACTGAGATACTCACACCTGACCAGGCTTTAGGTACTGGAAATGCCGTTTGCTTTCAAACACATTGGCCTTGCTGTTGGCAGAATTTTTGCAGGATTTTGCAGTGAAATCAAAACAAATCCAAATCTGGCAGACTTGCAGAGTTGGCCCCTGAATGACTGCAAAATGCAAGTAAAACATTAAGTTGCAATCACAATATAGGAATGGAGATGGAGCTCCAGCTGGAAGTTCAATCAAACCCCTTTGTATGAAGTGAGTGACCACTACTCATATTTTATTTGGCATCAGACTTCAGAATTTGTGGAGCAGAAAAACCAGGGAGAAGGCAAAACTTGTGATGGAAAGATCTGAAAGATTCAGGGAGGAAACTGGTGGGAAGTGCCCTTCCTGTCCCTGCAGACACTGCACAGCCCCAGCAACTGCAGTCAACAAATAAAAGGCAAGAAAACACAACATATGGATCCTAAACCCACAAACTGCTGGAAGTACAAGAGAGAATAAAGCCCCCTCCTGTCAGGTAGAGCAGAGCCTGTGTCAACAGCAATCACACGCTCCCACTGTTGCTCAACAGATGTACTTGAACTAGAGATAAGGCACTTCAAACTCCAGGGAACTTATGTGCCAAAGGTGTTGCCTCCTGTGCCTCTTTCCAGGCAGGGAAGGGAACACCAGGCAGGATTCAGACACCTAATTCTGCAGTAAGTGAGGAAAAATGAGCAAAAGAATTCTTGTCAATACAAGTCATCCCGAGTAGAAGGTGGGGGACAACCTCAGAAAGGAAAAGCACAGGCAGAGTCAATACATTTATAAATTAGAATACAGCAAGCAGACTTACCACTGGAGAAAACTGTGAGTAAATCTCTCTCCTGAGGAAGGCTTTAAGCCTATTTTCCTGTTTTCAAACCTATGTCACCAGTGAAGTCCCATAAATGAATATTGTCTTGCAGATAAAGTGGTTGCCTTCAGCTTTTGGCAGCTGCAGTAAGAACAAAACATATCCTGCAAGGCTTTACTCCTGAGAGTAATCTCCTCAAAGAGTGAGGAGAAAGCACGAGCTAAAATCATTTGCACAATCAGGTTTCATAACTGCTCCTAGTCTGGTGGTATTGGTCCTTCCTGAGTACAAAAAATGCACAAACTTTTCTCCCTCTTCTACCAAGAGGGGAAAAAAAAAACCCTGCTTATCTTTGGATAGGCAGAGAGTTTGGAGGAGCTCCAAACAATGGAGCACTGTGTGCCCCACTCATCACACAGACACTGAAGAAAGAGTGTGGCAAAGAATGCACAAAGTATGTAATTACTGTTTCACAAGATAATTCCATTATTAATACATCCCCAAAGATAGCATGCACAGCGCTGCAGTTTAATTAGATGGTAACTGGAGGGGGTTTGAATTTATGAGGTAATAAATATATTTTGGACTAATAAACTCCAAGGCTGAAGTGTTTATTAATCTAGAATATAAAGATTACATAGTTGATAGGAGACAACCTCAGGTTGTGCCGAGATGCCTGTTGTTTATACACTTCAAAATTAATATTTTCCCCCTTTTGGGAGCTAGATCAGAAAGTCAAGATTGCTGTGGATGGTGCTGAAAAATACCAGAAACTGCCCAACGATTCTGTGTTCTCAAAGGCAAAGGCTGCTTAAGACTCAGCAGATGGTATGGTTTTAAGGTTTCACCTTTTAATCAATTTATCACCTCCTAAACGATTAAGTACTGCAAATAAACTCCCTTCTGACACTGTCAGTGCCTCATTCTGATGGTAAAAAACACAGATTCCCTTGTAGGATAACCAGAGCCTTTACAAGACTATCAGATCTCTGCTCTGTTTCCCCCAAATACTCAATTCCATCTTTATTTTCTGCTTTTGGACTCACCTGCAAGACCACATGAACAATTTTGGTGTCTCGTCGAATTTTTTTCTCTCCTCAACACGGTTGTAGAAACTTTTTGCCTAGTGCAGCACATTAAGGATTTGGAAACCAACTGTTGTGAGGATTTATATCCCAAACAGCTGTGCCAGGAAGTCAGAGGAATCAAATGGGCTCATCTATTAACTTGTCCTCAGGTAGTTACAACTAGAGCTTTATAAATTACCACCCAGCTCAGTCCATTGCAGCCACATTGCTCTGGTATTTTGGAAGTGCCAATGCCTTGCTCAAGCAAGACAGAAGATCAGGTTTGGTCCAGGAAAAAACGGGCATGATTGAAGTCAAAGAATAGTTTTGCTTAAGCCAAAGGTAAATTTAGTCCTGAGGGAATTGCAGAGAAAGAAAAAGGAAGGAACATGAAGAGGAACAAGCTGTGGGATCTTGCAGGTGAATCAAGACTGAGAATGCAAACTGTTCCCATACCTGGCTGAGTGATGGATGTTGGACAAAACCAGGGGAGTCCAGGATGTGCCAAAGGAAATGTGGGGCAGGAAAAGAGGAGCACAGAGACACACCACAGCTTGGGTTTATTGGTGAGGAAAAACCCTGCTATGGTGGATTCCAGCAGGAAGAAAGTATCATCACCAAGGGCTGTAAAGATTTAAAGATATTTAGGAAAATGTTTATTAAGGAGCTTAGGTGGTCCAAATAGAATTGGTTGTGTGTTCAGACAGATTGCAAGGTGGTTCCACAGGTTCAGGGCAACACTAATTCTCGAAAAGAGCCTACAGATAAATCATGGGAGATGACAAAGAACCATTTCCAAAGCTCCTGTTTTTTCATTCCCAGGCTTATATCCTCTCACCAACTGAAGCAAGTCACAGAACCAACTTTCCAATATTAAATCTCCAGGCAGTGTGTTATTCATACAGCTTATGGAGATGTCTTTACCCTCTGGAAAAACAAAGTTTAAGAAAAATGGCTCCATCTTTGGGGAACAGTTTAAGTCTCAGGATAACTACATTAGGAAATCTAACTCTATTACTTTCTATCTTACATTTTATTACAAGATTGGTAATAGGAAATTACCAAATAAAATTGGTATTTTACTTGGTAATTTTTTTCCATGGGCCTCGTCTAATATGAAAGATGGTGATCATCAAATTTATTCAAGTTTTCCTGTCAACAACATCATTAACCAAATCCCTCAATTTCAAAGTAAATAAAAGCATCTGGGCTTCTTGCACAGCAAGACTGACTTGCATATTTAAGCCTCATATATAGATGAATCTGCACTGGACCAAATTTGCATATTAATGAAGGACTAATTGCTCTTTGCAGTCAATTTTATGCAGATGAATTTACTCCTCTCAGTACAATTTTCATAATGTTCAGAAAGAACCAAAAAAATGTAAAACTTTGTAAAAGTACACAAATGTTAGACCATCAAGGAAGAAATATTCTAATGGCTTCCAACAGCTTTACATTAAATTGTATATAATTCATCTTTTATACTGTTGCTTTATTTTAACAGCCTCCCACAAAGAACAGAACAATCCATGGAATAACTTCAGCCTATTCCCCCTCCTCGGTCTCAAATTTTAACAGCTTGTAATAACACATTATATGATCCAGTTTCCAGCTGGAAGGATGGAGCCTGAATTTTTAGGAGAAGTTAAATTTGCTAAACAGGAATTTATTTGCTCCCAGTCATCCTCATGCCACAGGACAGTTAGGACAGAGTTTGTCCCACACATTTTTAAGGTGGTTTCTCTCCAGTTTTGCACTATTAAGGAAAAAGGGCCCAAATCCTTGAGTCTCCCCTGAGGTGAAGTAAAAAATACCAAAAAAAAAAAGGACAGGAAAGTTCATGGGAAAGAAAAACATCAATAAATGCTGAGGAGAAAATGATAATATTAGAGGGGAAAGGGTAAAAGATATGGAAGTAGAAGAGGAAGGGAAGTGGAAATGGAAGGAGAGAAAAATGATGCTTCAATGTGTTTATTCAGGTCTGGCTATGAAGAAAAGAAGGATTTAGGAGAAAGTTCAAGGCAAAGTAAACAAATAAAAGAAAAAATGTAGCCACAATGTAGCCACAAAAAAGAAAAAGAATGGGAAAGATTATAAAATAAGAAGTAAATGAGAATCAGATAACACATGAGACATAGAGAAACAAATAAAAGAAAATACAAACCCCACAGTTTTTCCTAATTCTGCCAGAACAGAAGGGCAGAGTTAGTGGGAATGCATCAGGAATCTGAATTTGCATGTATAGGCTTCCTCCTGCCAAAGAAAAGAGCCTTATTTTAACTGTGAAGACTGATAACCATAATATTTATATGTATCATAAAATCACTTACAAAAGACCATTTTAATCAGAAAAGGAATTGCAGAAAAGAAAGTTCCATCCTTAAATGACTTGGAGGCCTTTTGTGCAAGGAACATGGGAATACAGCTCACATTCCCCACATCTGCCAGGTCTTTGATTGAATTTTTTGCCCTTCCCTGCAGCTTTTGCTGTTTTAACATCTCCTTTTTGAGGCAGAGTATTCACAGCTACATGATGGATTTATAGTGGTACCAAGAATTTTTTTGTGGTTTTATTCTATTTCTTCTCTCATTTCCTACTATCCCACTTCCTGGACCACACTGAGCTTACAGATCTCCTATGATCCCCACAATTTGGTTCCTGAGAAGCAGCTGTTGATAAACAATATTTCATGATCAAAATAAAATAATCTCCAGGATGAACATCTTTTGACTGAGCTGTTGAGTTCTTCCCAAAGAAGAATCAGAAATTCTGCCAGGAGGTCACTTTGCCATCTCTCCTTGTGGTCTTTCCCACCTTGATGACAGAAGCCACAACATCTGGAGAATTTGTTTGGGATAAATTCATTCCTCCATGAGCAATAAAAGGCAATGGTTTGATGGAAGCAAGATCCCATTACATGGGAAAAAAGGGGAAAAAAAGGCTTTAGGGCAGAGGAGCTGGCAGAAAATATCAAACCAAGGGGAAGGACAAGCAAAATGACAAGAGGCTTTCACTAGCACTCAAAAAAAGAACAGACCACAGAACAAAGAGAGACTTATAAAATAATACCAGTAATAATTGGAAAAGAATGACAAATACTCCACCAGGAAAATATTGGAATGCTACTGCTGAGAATTCTCATGGAGGAAACAGGACTCAGTTCAGCTGGACAGCCTGGAGGTTTGGCTTTTAAAAGTTATTTGACAACAAATTACAGCTCTTTGTGAATACTTTGAATTCTGGATTATTAATTCAAACTGTTTCCCTATTTTGCTCATAGAGGAGAAGGAAAGGAAATGAATCTCCTTTATAATTTCTGTACATTTGAAAACCTGCTCTGGGCACTCCCCCTCTTTCCCCAAAAATGTCTGGTTCAAGTGATTAACGCTGTGTGAATGTAAACAAAGATAATTATTCAAACAAGAACAAGATGTTCCACCCAAAATGATTTGCTTTCCAGTGGCTGAGATGCCTACTTCTAATCATCAACAAAGGTTAACCTGACCAGATTTAATTAACCACTTAATACAATAATAAAGATGCATAAATAATGGAGGAGGGAGCCCACAGAGGCAACAGGGAATCCAAACAAATCCCTCCAAGCAAGAACAAAGTCTGGGCTGTTATCACCTGATTCCACTGATCTAAGAATTCCTGAGTTTTTACATCCACTAGGCACAGTTTTGCACTTGTCTATGTGGAACTTGATTAATAGATGGTTTTTATTATTATTAAACAAACAGGAAAAAAAAAAAAAAAAAGCAGCAAGAAATCCCATCTCTAAAATCCAATGCTAAAATGAACCAGTGATATTTCTTAATACTGTGCTTCAAATTCATAGATGAAGTCAACTGGTTTGTACAGGTTATTTAAGGAGTACAGGAAAATAAATTACTATTTCCTCATATATAAATATAGAGAGAGAGTGAGAGATATCAGACAGATATTTTGAAGACAGAATTACTATTTTCAGTGAAAAAAATAGTCTTATTCTGGAATATTCCTTAGTAATGAAACAAAAGCTTTCTATTACAACAATGAAGTACTTTGCAATGTCTCCATAAATTGGGAATACTGCAAAATATTTTACATTTCAGAGGATGTTAGAAAATACTATTGGCCCTGGATCTCTGGATAATGTGTGCAGCAGTTGCTGGTTGAGGCAGGCTGTACTCAGAGTGTTACCAAATAATGAGTATTAAA